TGTTCTCAAACTCGCAGCAATTGTCCTGCCTCAGCCTCCAGAGTCCTGGGATGACAGGTGTACTCCACTATCCCCAGTCTCAATTTGTTTCTTGCTCTGTGGCCCAGACAGGCCTTGACCTCTTGGTGATCCTCCTGCCTCAGCCTCGCCAATGCTGAGATTGCAGATGTGTCCTGGGGGTCATGGTCCCCTCTGGTCTCATTTCCACACGGTCCAGGGAGGCCTCTGTTCAGAGCGGACTTTGCTGCTTCTCCGCTGGAATTTCTGCAGTGTGAAACTGGAACCCCTTAGGGGTCTCTTTTCGGGCCCCTGCAGGCTGGGTTTGGTGACCCTGCCCAGATCCCCTGTGGCTCCCTTACTGGGGATCCTCTTGCATGCTGTGTGCTCCTCCTTCAGGAAGCCCCCCCAGGTCTCACCCAGGACAGACTGCCTAGGTCTCCACAGCCGGCACTGCCCTCCTCTTGGTCAGGGAGTGGGGCTGCCTGGCCCCCAAGGACAGACACAGGTCAGCTTCCCTTGGGATCCTGGAGCCCAGGGATACGGGGACGCGCGGTGCAGGGACGGAAGGAAGGAGGAGCAGCCCGCCGCCCCTCCCCCGCCCGCGCGCCAGGTGCGGGCGCCACCACTGTCGCTGCAGCTGGGCCTTTGTGTTCCTGCGAGCGGCGAGCGGCAGAGTGGCGGACGCCCATCTTCCTGCGGCTCCAGGAGGAAGTGATCAGCGCTTGTTTCTCCACGTCCTCATTCAGGGTGAAGTGGAAAGATTCCAGCCAGCGCCTGCCTGCCTGCCTGCCTGCCGCCTCGGGAGGAGGGAGCCCCTGTCCCCATGGGGGTGGGGGGCTGCAGCTAACACCCCACAGCCCAGCAGCTGGCTGCGGCTCAGGTCAGCGAGGCCCTGAAATCCTGTGCAGGATTTGAGGAATATGATCCCGCTTCTAGGGGCCCATGGCCTCACTCTCTAAAAGTTAAGAATCGTTTTTTGTGTTTTTGTTTTGTTTTTGGTTTTGAGACAAGGTCTCACTGTGTAGCCCAGGCTGACCATGAACCTGGGGATCCACCTGCTTCAGCCTCCCGAGTGTTGGATTACAGCAGCACTGTGGCCAGCAAGAGCCACTCTATCAAGTTGGTGACGTACCCTGGTGGCAGTGGAAGCACAGGAGAGTGCATAAAGGAAGGACGAAGCCTGGAACCAGTTCCCCCGTATGGGCTGTGGGAGCCTGAATTTCTCTGCTGTGGATGTGGACAGGGTCCTGAGCCTTCTGTTTGCCCACAGGACACCCACAGAAGGTGTTAGGGGCCACACCTAACACCACCTGGGGCACAGGCAGGGAACAAATGGCCCCAGTCCAGTTCCTCCAGGAAGTGAGGCTAAGACAGAGAGAAAGCTCGGGGTTCTCAGTCTGCACCTTCTCCTGCTGCTCACATTTCCACCCCAAGACCAAGTACTAAATGTGTAATAAAAGTGAATTTAAAGCCGGGCCTGGTGATGTACACCTGTCATTCCAGCACTTGGGAAGCTGAGGCAGGAGGATCACTTCGAGTTTGATTCCAGCTTGAGCAGCATAGCAAGAGCCTGTTTCAAAACACCAAAACAGAAAACAGGTTTATCCATAAATGCATTCCCTCTGCAGTAATGATGAGATAGTCATTAGACAGTGAGGCAAGGAGAGGCTGGAATGTAGTAGATTCTCATTTATGGCCCTGGGTTCCAACCCCATGAGAGAGACAGAGACAAGGATGAGACTAGGCTACACCTGATGCATTGGTTCTACACACTTAAAAAATACAACTTTTCTTTGGCACAGTGTTGTGTGCCTATAATCCCAGTTAATAAGGAGGCTGAGGCAGGAGGATTGCAGGTTCTAGTATGGCCGGGGCACCTTAGAGAAAACGTGTCTCAAATTTAAAAAAATAAATAAAACCTAACCTCATTCACCACTGCACCTGGCTGGTCAAGGTTTATATTCTTGAAATCTACCCAACATTTAGTTTATGGTTGTTTGTTGAGGGAGGGTCTTGCTGTGTAGGGATTCAGCTTGGCTTCGCGGCAATCCTCCTGCCTCAGCCTCCTGAGTCCTGAGGTTACAGGTGTGCATTACCATGCCCTGCTTCACATTTAGATTAAAAGCAGAAAGGGCATTCTCAGTTCTCATTAAGCCTCTAGACTCTACACTTCATGAGAGAGGAGGACTGAAAAAAGAAAATTTCGGCTTTGTGGACCTTTAAATAGGCCTCAGAGATGCCCATGTTCCTGGGCTCCACTTGCAAATCCTGATTGTGTGGCAGTGTTTTGCAACAAAGAGCAACAGGGAGTGGAGAGGCCCCAGGTGCCCGCCAAGGTGCATGGACCCACAGAGAGCAATAGGCCTGGGCTCCAGGCGGCTCTGCAGCGGGGAAGGTCAGGGGCTGAGACTAGCATGGTGGTGGGAATCCAACTCCCTGTGTCCAGAGCGCCAAGGACGCAGGACTCCAATGCGCACTGGTGCAAGGGAGGCTCCTAGTGACTGTGCGATTGATTTATGCAGACTTCCGACACCTAGAGCCTGGGAATCAGAAAGCTGCGGTGTACAAGGGAATGCTGCGCAGTCCATGGCGCACACAGGTCCACACCACAGAGCGCACGGCAGGCTGTGCACGCGCAGTCTTGCTCAGAGCATGGCCAGAGTCCTGTATTCAAAGCCAGAAGCACCTGATTTATTTTAGAAGACAAACGCAGAATGTTCCTGTCACAGCGTTCCTGTCACAGGAATGGGTCCTCAGCTGTGGGAGCTAGTTCCCCTTCAAATCAAACAAATAGCTGAATGTTTCACTTAATTTATTTATTTATTTATTTTTTTGTTTGTTTGTTTGTTTTGAGACAAAGTCTCACCATGCAGTTCAGGCTGGCCTTGAACTCACTTTGTAGCCCAGGCTAGACTCGAACTTACAGCGACCCTCCTGCCTCAGCCTGCCATGTGCTGGATTACAGATGTGTTATCCCACCTTTATCTGTCCTTTTTCTTTAGCTTGAGATATATGTGTGTGTGTCTGTGTGTGTGTGTGTGTGTGTGTGTGTGTGTATCTTTAAGCAGATTTATTTTTGAGTTTGCTTGTTTGTTGTATTGGAAATCGAACTCATATGATGCAGGTCCTATGCTACTGACATACATTCTCAGCCCTTTAAAAAGTTTTTGTGTGTGTTTTGCTTTTGTTTTAATTTGGGTGTGTGTGTGTGTGCCAGAAATCAAACTCAGGACATCCCACTTGCCAGGCAGGTAAACTGAACTAAATCTCCTTTCCTTGCTCTAATTTTAAGACACAATCTCCCTAAATTGCCCAGGGTATATTAGAACTTGCAATCCTCCTGTCTCAGCCTCCTGAGTGTTGGGCTCACAGGCATGTGCAGCCAGACCTGTCTGGTGTTTTAAAAGAACATAAACATTAGGATTTTAGGTTGTTAAATTCCTGACAAAGTCAGCTAATAGCCAACACCAAGGTCACTACCGTCTATGCAAGGCAGACATCACCAATTGATCACCGTGGCAGGCAGCACCAATCCACAGGGATGTTCTTTCCTGCTGAACAAACCTGCAGCACCTTCCTAACACAGTTCCAAGAGGCAGTGGGAATCAATTACTTATAATAAAAAAAAGCTGAAACATACTTGCCTTTGCAGATCTCAAGTATGACCTTCAGAAATTCTCAGAATCATGGAAAATGACTCAGAATTTTTCCCTCAGGAAGTCTGGCCCTGCTGAATATGAATTCTTCACTGTGAACCTACCCACACCACTCTTCTTGTTACAGAGGGATTTGGAATCTTTCTAAACCAGCCTCTTCTCTATCTCTCTCTCTTTTTTTTTTTTCTCCCCGGAAAAGGAAAGTGAATCCTCAGAGATTAGGGAACTTGCTCAAGGTCACAGGATGAGTGATTATGAGACCTGTCATAGTAAAATATAGCACTTAATAAAGTTGACTCTGGAGTACCCTGGCCTGGGCATGGAGTGTGTTGTGCACCTTCACAGCTGGGTGACCTCACTCTCTGTGCTTCAGTTTCCTCTTCATAAAATGGGCTGGTTGAGTCCTAGGGTACCTCCATCCCTGTGTGGCTGTGGTGGGAACGTTTCCAGCTGGGGTGGGGTTCTGGCCCTGTCCTCTAAGGGAGTAAGGAGATCTAGACAAGGGCAATTGCAGGGAGGGGCTGCCCACGGTGAAGAAGGAAATAAATAAGAATAAAAAGAATTTCTGGTCAATAGGCTCTTCAGACATCGGGGCTGCGGTGGATCTCCCCGGCCGAGGTGAACTCTTTCCCTTCCAGCCGCCCTCCCTTCGGAAAGAGCGCCCTCTCCAGAACAGGGCCCTGTGGGTGTGTGTGCAGGGCCTCCTGTTCAGAAGGAAGCCGTCTGGCACGGGGTAATTGTGCAGCAAATGGCAGGAGTTGTTCCTCCATGGGTGACAGAGCAGAGCAGGAGAAAGACCTGCTGCTCTGTGCCCGCAGCTCGCGTCTGGAACCAGGCTTCCGGTGAGCTGAGCCCTGGGTTCTGCGTGTGCCCAGGATGAGTCTTTGACCGCACTGCTGCTCTGCAGGGTGGAGCACGGGCTCAGCACAGGAGGGCGGCAACGATCCAGAAGCCACATTCCAGCTACCGATTTCCCCAGACGCCCATAATGCTGTCACACATCTATACTAACAAATCAATTTAGCTGTTTGTGTGTCGGTGCACGCCTGTAAGCCCAGCACTCGGGAAGCTGAGGCAGGAGGATCGAGCCGAGTTCGAGACCAGCCTTGGCTACAAAATGAGTAAGTGCATATTGAGACCCTGGCTCAAAAAGACCGAAAAAAAAAAAATCAATTCTCGGGAAGAGTTAAATGAAGCAATGAATGAGGGTAATAGTGATAACCGCTGATGGGGAGCACGTCGAACGTTCTTCTGCGGCCTTTGAAGCCCCCTCGCCGGCAGGAGTAGGAGACCTGGAGTTGGACTCCCCGTGCTCAGTCCCCACACCCCATCCAGATAGAGACGTGTTTGAAATAAAGTTTATTGAAGTTTCTGTCGGTATTTACATATGATACACGGTAAATAGAGCCAGGCCCCCCGCCCCGTGCCCCTCCCCCCAGCCTCGTTAAAAATCGCTGCGCGAGACGGGTTAACTGCTGTCCCCCCAGATGCAGACTAAAAGCCCCGGCCCCCCGCCCTCCCCCCACCCCGGGGGCCCTTCTGCTTCCGTGTACGACGCTGTGCTACCTCGCCCCGCCCTTGATGGGGAGGGCGATTGTCTAGGGACCTCCCCTTCCCTCCATCTGTTCAAAGGGGTGCGTGGGGCTTTGAAAGAGGCCGGAATCCGGGTCTGAGATGGAGGGAATGGAGGGGGTAGTCGGGGAGGAGAAGTGCCAGAAAGTGGAAGACCGAGATGAGGGGGCGTGGACCCCCGCTACTGCCCCTTCCTCCCTCGACGGGGCCTCGAGGGGGGAGGGGCGGGCACCCCTGGCCCAGCGTTGCGTTAGGGGTGCATGGCTGGGTGCTCCAGGGCTGCGGACCAGTGGGTGCAGGGAGGAAGGTGAGTGGGTGGAGGAAAGGGACCTCTGAGTCCCAGGAGACCAGGTTCCCGCGTGGGCGGAAGACCCTGGCCCGCGAGGCAGCACGAGGTGTCCCAGGGGAGCGAAGGAAAAGCAATCCAGCTTCCCCCAGGCCTGCAGCCCCTGCACCCCAGGCCAGCGGTACTGGGCCACAAGGAGGGGCAGAAGGGGAGGAGAAGGCCATCGGCATTCCTGGTGGCTGCCGACAGCACTCTCGAGCCCAGTACCCCAGCGATCAAGTGGGAGGTGTAGGATACTGGGCTAGCGGAGCTCTTGGACCAAGAGGAGCGAATTGCCGGGGAAGGGAGGGGCAAGGGAAAGGGGAGGGATAACAGGATAAGTTGAAGGAACCAATGAGGAGGAGAGACTGAGAAAGGGGAGGGGCTACTGAAATGAGGCAGTGACGGGTGTGCAGCATCCTCTAAAAGGGAGGAGTTATTGAAATGAAGCATTGTGGGCGTGACCTAGTGATCGGGCAGTACAGCACCCTCTAAAGGGTAGGAGCTACAGAAATAAAGGATGGTGGGCGTAGCTTAGGGGCGGAGCAGTGCCGCCCCTCTAAGGGGGAGGGACTATTGAAATGAAGGTGGTGGGCGTGGCCTGTAGTGATAGGGTGCAACGTCCTCGAAAGGGCAGAGCTATTCAAATAAGTAGCGGGTGGGCGTGGCCTTCAGTGATGGGGCTGCCTGGCGCCCTTCGCCCTTTGGTGGGAGTGAGGGGCTGCAGAGCCGTGGCACCCTGGAGGGCGGGGGCGCGGAGGGCAGAGGAGGAAGGCGAGGTGCAGCGGGCGGGGCTTCGCGGGCCTCAGCAGGGCGAGGTGGAGATGTGCAGGTGGTCCGGGTACTTGATGGCTGGGGGATAGTTCTGCGTCATCTGGATGGAGACGTCGCTGGAGATGTCCGAAGGGCTGCGGCCGCGGCGCCAGGCCTCTGGCTGCAGGAACTGGCCAGAGTAGTCGGAGCAGTCGCTGAGCCGAGGACGGTAGAATGCCGGATGCGGGCGGTACATCTCCTCCTCGGCGTAGCGCTTGGTGAACAGGTACACCGACATCACACCGGCCCCCTAGGGTGCAGAGCAAGGCCAAGGTCCCCGGTCACCCCGGAGTGCAGCAATCAGGGCGCACCCAGCACCCAGAAGTTTGGATCCCCAGTGCCCTCCTCTTCAGGACTCCAGGAGTTGGAGCCTAACCCAGAGCCTAGGCCCCACCCTCCTCCCTCTGCGCCCAGGGTGGGGCTCGGGCGCTAGTCCCTGCCCTTGCAACTCCAGGTCTGGGCCCAGGACTTCACCTCTTTGAGCAGAAAGGAGGAGGCAGCAAAAGCAAATGACCACCCGTAGCGATAATGAAAATACTGCTCTGAGCTGCTGGGCCGGTTCATGACCTCGTCGTTGATGCTGGAGATATAAAGAACCAAGCCCACCACCAGGGAGAGGCCTAGGGGAACAGAGAGAGAACAGAGCGGTACTCAGGCATGGGGGGAGGTAGGGCTTAGCCCATTGCCCCCCCCACCTCGTCGTGCCCACGCAGAGCTGGTCCATCCATGGGGCTGTGAGGGGGCAGCAGCCACTGAAATGCAGCTGGAAAAGAAAGCGGAGTTCAGAGCCACCCTCGGTGGCGAGGCCTTCAGGGAGCCAGGGAGGATGTGGGACAGAGGAAGGACCCAACAGGACCAAGGTACAAGCAGACCCTCTGGGAGCCAGGTAGTGTTGGCAGGGAGACCAAGAGCTGTGACGCCCTATGGGTGGAGGATGAAGCCTGGCGGGGCCGCCTGGATACTAATCTCAGTGACATCAGTAATGCGGTCTGCACAAGGCACGGCTTGCGTGCCAACCATGAAGGAGCCAAGCGTTATCTCTGCTTGGGGAAAAGGGGTCTGAGGCAAGATTTTCAAAAGGCAAACATCACTTTCTCAAGGTGAATTTGGCCTTAAACAGCAATCATGCCCCCAGAGCAGAAGACCCAAGAAACGAGAGGCCCGCTCTGAGGTTTACTGACTCAGAATCCAACAAAGGAGGGCCAGGGATGTTGCTCATCGGAACAGTGTCTCCTTGGCCAAAGTGAGGTCCTGAGTTCAATCCCCAATGCCAAAAAAAAAAAAAAAAAAAAAAAAAAGCCTACAGAGGAGTGACCTACACCCAGGACAAACTCAAATCCTTTCCACTGTCACAGGGGTCAGTGTTAAATCCAGTACACTTTCTGTCTCTGTGTGGCTCCCCAGCCAGGACTGGCTTTTAATCATTAAAGGGCTGGGAAATAAATCAAAGGAGGAATAATGTTCTGCAGCCTGTAGAAAGTGTGTCCGTTTCATTTGGCAGTCCTTCAAGGTGTTAAAGATAGAATTACCATATGACCCCGCAGTTCCACAACAAGGCACACCTGAGAGACTGGAACAGGTGTTCCCACAAAAATGTGTGCATGAATGTTTGTAACAGCATTGATTACAGTAGCCAGAAGTATACAACCCCAGCTTTCACCAGCGGATGAGTGGATAAAGGAGACATGGTATTGTACAGCCAGCAAAGCCAGTGCAGACTAATTTACGTCACACGGGGACAGACCTAAAAATTGAGCTCAGCAAACAAAGACAAATCCAAAGGAACACAAATGATGTGACACTGTCACAGGGAAGTCACAGGAGTGAGCCAGTGCATGGAGACCGGAAGCAGATGGGCAGTGGCCAGCCAGGAGGATGGATGGGAGTCGACTAGCTGTTAAAGAATGAGTGGTCCCAGGGCTGGGGATTTAGCTCAGTGGCGTAAGCGCCTGCCTTGCAAGCAAGCAGTCATCAGTTCGATCCCCAGTACCGATAAAAATGAAAAAGCCAAAAAAAAAAATGAGTGGTCCCTTTGGGAGGTGACTGAAATCAGCTAAGAAGTGAGCACAGCTTTGTGAAGCTACAGGAAACCACTGAGTTCTGTGAACTGTATGATATGTGACTCATACTTTAAATTTTAAAAGTATAACCAAACGAAAACCATATTCGCACTTCAGACTTCTGTGCTTGCTAAAAACTGTCGTGGACACACGCCCGCACCCATTCGCTCACCTGTTGCCCAGGATGGCTTTCTGTGGTCTGTGCAGAGCCAAGCACCACAAGGACTGGTCGGCCACTTGAGGCAGAAATGCTCAGTACCTGGCTCCTCAAACTGTAGACCTCCTGGCCCTTGCTGCTGGCACGGCCAGGCCCTGCCAACCTCCCTCCGCCTGGAACGCCTTGAGTGCATTCCTGCCTCAGCCTCTTGCCTCTGCTGTCCCTCTACCTGGAACACAGACCTAGGACCTCCCTGCTTAGCAAACAAGGCAGCCAGGTGCGATGGCGCACACCTGTCATCCTGGCACATGGGAGACTGAAGCAGGAGGATCGCCTAGAGTTCAAGGCCAGGCTGGGCTACAGAGGAAACCTGAGCTCAAAAATCAATCAAGCTGTTAGTTAATTCATTAAAATAAAGCTAAACAAAACAAAACTCTCCCAGCCAAGCTAAACGTGGTGCCGATGGGACTCTGTCCAGACTGGGGGATCTGAGCAGCAGGTACTACAAAATGAGAGTTAGAGGAGGCTGGGCAATAGCTCCCTATGGTTACCACATAACCAAAACGTGACATGCAGAAGAGCACACAGTGTGATACCTTTCTGGTTTTTTTTTTTGTCTTTTTCTTTTTTATCGGTACCAGGGATCGAACTCATGACTGCCTGCTTGTAAGGCAGGCGCTTATGCCGCTGAGCTAAATCCCCAGCCCCAACCTTTCTGTTTTTTGAGACAGGGTCTCTTGTAGCTCAGGCTGGCCTTAGTGTACAGTGATTCCCCTGCCTCAGCCTCCCAACTGGTGAGATGACAGTTGTGGGCTACCATGCCAGGGTCTATAGTGTGCTGCCTTCCCAGCAGAAAAAGGAGTATATAAAAATACACAGGCACATCTGCTCACTTCTGCAAAGGCACAGAAAAGGAAAGAAAGAAACGGGGCCTGTTGTCTTTAGGAGGCAGGTGCGAATAAGGACAAGATGGGAGTATGTGTTTTTATGTGCTCAATAAGATGGAGGGAAACTGAGAACATTGCCAAATGTGGTGGTGTGGGCCTGTAATCCTCAATCTCCGGAGGCTGAGGCAGGAGGACGGCTGTGAGTTCCAGGCCACCCTGGATTACACAATGAGACTCTGTCTCAAAAAATATAACGGAGGGGCTGGGATTTAGCTTAGCGGCATGTTGGCTGAGCCGGAAGCAGGGAGCTGGCGGGTCACTGCCCACACTGAGCCGCAGGGTCAACACCTGGACATGATGCCCAGAGGGCTGGGCGACTGGGCCGGGCACAGGGCCCCAGACAGACAGTAGCCACAGGCAGTACCTCGGTTATAAGAGCACCCAGACCCTGGCAACCATGTGGGAGAGCTGTGTGATAAAGGAAGCCAAGAGGGCACAGGAGAAGGCGACAGAACTCAGGCAGGAAGGAGAAACAGCACCGAGATCCTCCCTGGGACGCTGAGAAGAGGTTAGGGCCTGAGCGGCCTCCTGTGGCCAACTCCTGTTGTGTGCCCAGTCAAAGGAGGTCATGACCAGAGTCAAGAGCTGTCCCTTGGTGATGCTGCAAGGACAGGAGAGGGGACAGCCAGCTCCAGAAGGAAGAGAAAGTATCACTGCTGCCCAGGAGGGGGCCAGGTGGGGAGAAAGGGGATGGTGGAGGACTGTGACGGGATGGATGGATGGCGTGGGCTTTCCTGTCTGTAAAGCATCTCAGCCTACACATGGCTTGTTCCTTTTAAAGAAGAATATATATAAATATAATTTTTTAAGACAAAAAGAGACTAAAGAGGGCTGGGGATTTAGCTCAGCAGCATAAGCGCCTGCCTTGCAAGCAGACAGTCGTGAGTTCGACCCCTGGTACCGATAAAAATGAAAAAGACCAAAAAAAAAAAAAAAGAGGTAGAGTAAGAAATACAAAGCAAGGCCCTATGCAGTCTCCTGGACTGAGAGGAAATAAGACGGCCCTGGTACCTGCGGAAATTTACAGCTAGGATTGTGATTCAGGTGTTGCTTGTACTAAGTCTCCTGAATTTAAGTTTTGTACTGTGGCTCAGTAACAAAGTGGCTGGACATTCACTGAATCCATCAGGTAGAAGTGTTTGCAGACAACATCCAGGTCCTTCCATGTGTCCCTGTGTGTGTGTGGGCAAGTACACGTGTGTATGCATATGTGTACATATACGTGTGCAGAGATGGTGCCCATGTGACAAGCTGTTTAACAAACCAGTCCAGGCAGGTGACAGCTACAAGTTCATTATATTGCTTTTGTGATTTTTCACTAGCTGTACATTTTCTTCTAAAATAAAAATGAGTACTGTCAAAGCAGATTTGTCCCGAGGTGCCCAGAGCTGCCTGTCTGTGTGTGTGCGTGCAGCCCACCAAGCGACGGGGAGCTCTGCTCAGTGTCACCGTCCCCAGGGCATCAAGCTCTGACTCGAGGCCTTGCTGCCCATGTGGTCACAACACAGAAGTCACCCACTGTGTTTAGCCCAAATATCACGGAGCCCCTGGTCTAGGCATCCCTTCCGGTTACAGGAAATGTGGGAAAGAGGAATATATTAGGCCAGGAAGCCATCAAACACCCAGGAGGGGTTACTACCGCTCCCAAGCCCTGCAGTCTGCAGCCAGGCCAAAGTCCCAAGCCAGCAACCAACCTGCTAAGTCACCTGACAGAGGACAGAGGACAGAGGACAGAGCACATGCCATGTGCAGGTGTCTGGCAGGGCAGGTGAGGATGGCACCACTTACCCACGAAGCCAAGAGAGGAAGAGGCCAACCCCAGTTGCACCCAGACTCTGGTGTGTGACAAAACCCAGAGGAGGCCAGAGGTGGCCAGCGGCATCGGTGTGCCAAACCGCACAGCGGAACCTGCTGGAAAAACTCCAGTGCGGGTCTCCACACCCAGCACGTCAATGAAGAGCTGAGATTACAGCTGGGATCTATCAAAGTGACACACATGTGGAATTTGGATTGCAATCTGCAACAAACTAGACGTAAGAAGGGGCCTAGGAGCCGGGCGGGCAGAGGGAACACTCAGTGGGCTTTGGACGGTGCGAAGCACTGGTCCTGGTGTCTGCATGCCCAATGGGCGGTACCATGGCTGTAGTAAACAGAAGAGTACTTCTAACTTGGAGAGCTACTGAAATATTTGCGGACAAAACGAGTTGATGTCTGAGGCTCTAAAATAAGGCAGGAAGGGGACATGGGTGTGTGGCTAAATAAAGAGCCGCCATATGTCGGCATGACTGGAGCCGAGGGAAGAGCGCACGGGATTCCCCTACACGCTTCCTCCTGCACTTCCAGGGGAAAACGCATCTCCAAAAGTCAGGGCGGAAAGAAAATAGCCACTCGTCTCGACTAGAAGGGACTCAGGAATAAATGCCACTCGTGGCCCCAGACCCACGCCTGGTTCTGAA